TTTTCCCTTATTTAGTGCTTTTGCTGCTTTTGCTACTCGACCGTCATTTAAGGTTGAATGAATTGAACTGATTTGAATATGAAAATTCCTGCATAAGCGTCATCGTTGACTTTCAGATGTAAGTTTTAAGAGAGAAATATTATCTACAAACCAGGATCGGTCCCGCAGCATCGTTTTGCAATTGTCAGAGAGTCCGTGTAACACAGTGCACCACCTGGACAGGAATCTGGTACAGACGGTGAGCAGGTGAGTTCTATTCCCGAAGAGTTTACGAGCGGTCTGGTCCCTTGAAATCGATTTTTTTACCTTCTGACCCGAAAAAACGGAAAAACTTCGAACTTACCAATTGGGCACCCGACTGGGGGTGGTTCCTGATTCAAAGCGATCATACAACAGTAACCGGTAGTGTGGCATTGAGAAGGGGGCAAACATTCGTCGTCTGAGGAGCATTGCACAAGTCTATTGCCTTTTTCTGAATAAAAAAGAGTCTGGGTTTATGGCTCATAGTTGTGGGTTCAGTAAGATTGGTAAGGCTTATACACAGCATGGCCAATGGATCGAATTCTGCCCAATGTTTAGGCCACATCATCTCCCCACGATCATCATTCCTACCATTTTGCCCAGAGATCCACTACATTACAATTTTTATGGACACGGGTAAGGAGGACCTCCTGACCCATTAGCGAGTATCTCAACTAATTCAAACGGAAATTTAATGTAGCCACTACCGAACAAGGGAGCTGTAAGTGTGGGGATAGTTACCATAATCTGTGTTGATTCTGTGCGAAACACAATTGTAAATAATAAACAGGCTGTAAACAGCGAGAAGAGGACTAAGAAAAGGAAACTAATGGGCATTCAAAAGGTCGTACTCAAATGGTTGTTCGGGGGAACATTTGGCGAAATCGGTGTAGTGAAAGACCATCGTACCTTTGAGAAGCCTCCCTTCGATACCGCACAGTCGTTCATGATCCCCTTCCATTTCGAAAAATGTCTGATTACCGGGATCCATGCCCTCAGAAATCATTGGCAGCAGAACTGCAAAGGATTCAATGCATCACAATGATTCGAACTAAGGAAAAGGAACAAAAAAATCATAAATTTGTGGAAAAAAATTAAATGAAGTAATGAATTGTAAGGGATGCTCAATGGCCCTACCACTTAGGGGTCCCTTCAAGCCTAGCTCTACAACGTTGTACTCCACTAGAGGTGCTATGGAATTGGTCACTGAAGAAAATGTTCGAACGCTACTTGCTGAAGTGTTTTTTCCAGTTTTTCATGGTTCATGTTTGCCATATTACAGCTTAAAAATAAGTTGAGGTGCTGGGATTTTCGTAGGATGGGAAAATATAGAAATTCGAAAAGCTATACAGGAGTTACTAGAGCTATTTTGCTTGTACTGCGTATATTGCCTTCATTATGAAATATTCGGGTGTTGATCGATTTCTTTTATGGTTGCACCCCGCATTCGACCTCCATTCAGAATCGTTGTGGCGTATTGAATGCCTATGTGGCTTATACAATGACTTGCGGTGAGCAATTGATTTACAAATCAGAACCTCCATCCTCACAGAAGATTCTGGTACCAATTGACGATCCTTGAGGGATGGAAAACGGATGCTCTGGGAATAGGATCAAGGAAATGGAATCCTACTTACTGCAAAAGACAAGTAGATATTTTACAGAAAAGCTATAGAACTCCAAAATGAACTTTCCAGCAAAATATCATAAATATTAATACTTCTGTCAGTCTCCGTTACTCAGAGTTCAAGAAATGCCCAGCAAATCATGGCGGAACCATGATCGTAGAGGTACTTCTATATTGGCAAGATGTTCACAGGACAGCTTCCAAAAAACAAAAATAAAACGAAATACCTACAGATATCGTCATTCGCATGAATTTTCGAGATTGTGGGTAATAATAAAAAGAGAAGCATCTTTGATGTGCTCCAGACTGCTGCCGGGGCAGCTTTTATCGGCAGCTGCCGGACGGCGGCGTGAAACCGGCCGTACGTGAATGAGTCATTCCGGTGCGGAACAGGATTTCCGTTTGCGGAAAGACATCTTTTCATTGACGTAACTAATGCCAGCGAGTCAGAAAGCATACGTGAGTCAGATTTAACGCAAACTCTTGGAAAATGCTCTGAAATTGATGATCCAAAGGATAGAACGACAATTAAAAAAGCCAAAATGAAGAGGCCTAGCAGAGGCCCGTAAAATGTAGGGATTTTGATACTTTCCGAAGACGAGTGTCTAAAGGGAATTTTGATCATCTTGAACCCTTTATTTTTCGTGACTACTTCGGAAGGAAGACGTTTGGAACCTCTGGAATTTACTGGAGTCTTCTGATACGAATTCTCTCGGAAGCTCCGCCGATTTGTCTAAATACAGCACTTCAACTACTGGTATCGAGTTTACATAGCTAAGTGAGCTCCTTATTGAGACATTCAGTTGGCTCCTTTTCAAATGGCTAATGGAAGTTCGAAGCGTGTTCAGGTAAATGCTATTACTGTATAATAGTATTAGGCGTATGGTTACTGTATAAGTCTGTAGTGTGTAATCACACGGGTTAGGGAGGTACTTTTACACAACGTGTTTTAAATGCAATTTCCAACCTTTTTTCATCATTTCTCGATTGTAGCTATTCTACGATCACTTAAGACGAAAGTAATCTTAAGATCCAATTTTAGTCTGCTTTATTGGTCCATTCGTAAACGGTTGGTCGTTCTTACAACAGGTACAGTGGCCACCACTGAGTTTAAAGTAATTAAATTCGTTCCCTTCCTTTCCGTGTCGTCGACATCTATTTTTTAGGTGTTCCTTCGCTCTAGAAATCTAATAGCAAAAAGGTTATTCGCATGAGGATATGTCACACGTTAAAAGACTCCGCTGGTACAGACAGCTGGATGCCGACTGCTGCTTATACTTACATCCGAAAACGGCATGCCTTGCTGGATGCTTCTGAAGATCAGAAGGTAAGTGAAAAGCGATTGAGTGATGGTGTTTGGTAAGAATTTCGGTCGAATAATTATACTCCATCTCATTTTTGAAGGCATGTTTGAACCCTGGGCTTGGGATTACTGTCTCCACTGCTGGCATGAAGCCGGACCCAAGGTTTGAAGAAGCTCCAGTACGTTGAAAAACAAAGCCTTCCAGTGCTCTGGGCCCGCGGCTCATTTATCAATTTGCTTATTCACTTCGCTCGCAACGGAATTGCTCTCATACAATGACCGGAATAAGGCTGATTCGCCTTTAGTGTTAAAATGTGGGGTAAATTCGAAAGAACATAATTGCTTTGCCCAGTTAATCACCATGGCTTACCCTCCTTTACCGTTTTTAAACTATTTTATTCCGAGGCGCTCTGAGTTGTATCATCTGATGGTCCTCTATTCGCAGTAGCGAATTGATATCAAGCCTAGATGTGCAAATTGTCCATGATCTCCTGCAATTCATTAGCCGACGGAACACATGAGGTTGAGTTCAGAGTCTGCTTTTTCGTTAATAGATAACGTTCCGGAATGCCTGTCTTGTCACTTGTTTTTTTTTCAAATGTCAAGTATTTTTCTTTTTTTTCAGGAAATAAGCGGCAACGATGGATTATGCAGGGAAGAAACAAATCCTGAAGTGCAGGATCAATAACGTAAATCGGCTCAGTTTGTCCATCAAAGTGAGAGTTATAGAAATTCGATACTCTCCTTTGAAATGTTCTAGATAATTTTTTCAGCCTTATGATCTTTTGCGTAACCCTTCCTCGATGTCTCTCTTAAGCAGCTTTTTCAGCCCAGTTTTCGAAACCTTGTCCTTTTTATATGTAGGAATTATTCACTATTGCATTTGAGCTAATGTAAATTCGTCATCTCCACTTTCATGGATTTTACCACGTTACTTGTTTGAATGCAAGGACCTATTGGGCTGACAATATTAAACGGTTAACATATTTCAGATGACGAGGAGTATACACTTAGCTGTGTCTAGAAGTCATTAACAGCAGCTATACAGTCAAGAAAACCGAGGAACTTTCGTTGTCATGCGGGGTCGAGGGCTGCCACTGACTCTTCCAGTCCGCGTCAGTTTTTCCGCGTAACTGGACGTTAGCCATTTGTCAAAGTAAAATCCCATGCTCATACGTTTTTCTTTTCCATAAATTTATTCTTACAACATCTTTTCTTTTCATGAATAGTTTGTTGGCGTCTTGCTGACAGCTGATCAGTCCCTCACTGCAGAAGAAAAAGGTGCAACATCGCATCAAACACTTTCGTGTAATCGGGAACGTGCAGAACAATTTTACTCGTAAACTGCCATGGTAAGAAGTTCGTTTTGAAATTGCGGTTTCCAATGTCTCCAAGATGACAACTTCAATTAGGAGAGGATGGACCGCAGAGATTTTGCTTACAAGACCTAGTAAAAATCCTGAGTGGAAGGAAGTTTTCCGCCAGAACTTCTAGCTATTGCCGGAAGCTAGCTGAGAATATACAAGCTGCTCTATTAACTGCTAAATCCAAAGATCGTGTGACCAACGTTTCAATTAAGTATGACGAGTCCTAGCGTATATGAATTTGATTAACAAAATAGTTTTTTGTTGTTATTTTTGCTTGCATTTTCAGTGATTTTGAGTGCTCTTCTGTTTTCATAATTCGATTTTAATCACTTACGGTATTGATTTCTTACGTGCTCTTCGCAGATGTAATAAATTTAACTATTTTGATGGTTAAAATTGTTCAATTAATAAATTATTTTATACTCTACTTCAGTGAAGAATTGCCTCGTTTCCTAACTCGAACTGGCCAGGAATCGTGATAAAGAATAAAAGCAGGATCGCATTCTGATTATAAATATGTTGTATTTCTGCGTCTCCTCGTGTTTTATAACGTTCAGTTGTCTGATGACTTAATATTTGTGCATTGCTTGATAAACAATCGAATGAACACTGCAAATGCTTCTCCATTACGAATTCAATTCGAACATAAGTCTCAAGGTAATCGTATCTCCATAAGCTGATTTGCTAGCATGCAGCGATTATCGAGCCAAACGATATCAAAATGTCAGCTTGCCGTAATAAGCACTTGCAACTGTATGTGGAGATTTTGAAAAAGGTGGAGGAACCATAACCGAGTAATCCATTCGGAACATCCCAAACATTCCGAATTTCAACCCAGTTCCACCTTTACTGGCCACCATGTTAGTCTCTTCATAGGTTTTTTCACACCGGTTCAAACCATTCGTTCCTTGACGTCGCCACTCTATTATGGGCACTGTAAGGGCAAGAAATAAAATTAAGGGAAATAAATTACTTAAACTAGTAATAGGCGAGCAAAATGCTTTCAGACATCCATTCTAACAACTCTCAACAGCAACAGTTTACTAAAAAGTGTCTGGAGCCTCCGAATACTGAATTGACTGATAACTATTAGACATATTTAATGAGAGCAATTTGAGAAGCGCTTCATACAACCAGCAAAGACAATAGAGGCTGTCCGTCCCGGTTCATAAAATTGTTTCCACCCAATTGTCGCTATGAGAACAATAAAATGATGTAGAGTTACGGTATTAGTTCAAAATACGCAATTGCACGCAGTAAAATCACCTTAGTCGCTTTTGTGTAATCGCATACAGCTAGCAACTACCGTACTCTACGGCTAATTTTATCCATTATTGGAGAGTCTAGAGGTCTCTATTCTCTTTATTCCTTTGTTGCCTACTCTGATCTCGCTGAAATTACAATTCTGCAAATAATCAGTGTAAGTCTTTTTCAATACTTTTAATGCATGAACTGCTTGCTTAATATGAAGAAATACAGGTTGCAATCACTAGCAGGTGTGGCCTCAGTTTTCTCACCATTCTCGCGATTTTTTCATCACCAGCTCGCGATCCGCTACTCATATCCTGAGAGAAATTGTGACTCAGAAACGATAGCAAAGAAATGTTAAGGATAAGCCGAAACATGGAAGTGAAGGGTCGCATTATGTAGCGATGATTTCGAACTTCTGCAGAAAAAAGGAGATATCTTATGTTTAAGAACAAATCTAAAGGCCAGATGGCTCGGGCGAGTTGTCCATCGTCAAAAGTGCGTTGTATGGGCGGTGCTTAGTTGGCAGTTAAAGCTCTTGCTCCCAATGGCAACGTGTGTGCCAACATCGTGCTGATCGACCGCCCCATTTTTGCAGCGTAGCTCGTGCTGGTGCGTATTTCTTCAAAGGAAATTTTGTTTAGATTTTCCTTTCATTCCTGTAATTATGTTCTTTTACTGATCCCTTTCCTGATCAATTTCTTGTCTGTTTATTTTTGACATCATTTTACCCATCTTCTTATGAACCCATGGTCACAGACAGGACAGTTGCGGCTGTCCGAGAGCATCAGTAAAGCCTGTTCCACGAGCTTAGGCTGAGAAGTTGGATCCATATGATTGGGGAGCATTTATTTCTCCCGGGTTATTTTTCCTTTATGTTCGAGACTATTTCAAAACCTTAGCAGAGCGGAAAATAAAACAAGGATCGGACAAAATAGGCAACTAATGCCAGTATAGGAAATCATCGGGCAAGAAGTAGCAGGATGGGAAAAGGGACGATGAAATCAAACATATTACACCAGCTATACGACACAGTTTGCTAAGAAAGGTGACTGATACGCGCACAAGACAAATAAAAGTAAGCGTAGGAGTACGGTGGTTACCGTTCGTACGCAATTGCAGACTACTTCGCAGTTGTTATANGGTTCGAAAGGATCCCATTTTGTTCTCAAATCAATGGGCCTTATCCTTTCTTCGTTTCTCTTACTGTTTCTCTTTTCATGTCCGAGTTTATTGATTGGTTCCATTTGCCATTCAATGATGATTCAGACCAGATCGGCGCTTTTTCCTTATTCCTTCATTCATTGTTGACTTTATTCCCCATTGATGAGCTGGCATAATGAAGCTATTCGAAAAATGGAGCTGTCGAAATTTGCTATCAAACTGAATTTAGAAATGGGGTGTATGTATTAGGTTGAGGCATTTGGTAGGAAAGACTGTCCAGATTCAATTTATAAGAAGCTGTTGAGTAGATAGAATGAGTTGTAAGTTTCGTTATCTAAGCCAGCACTCACCATGATTCATCTGACTGACGGTTTAATGGAAACGGTGACCAGCAAGCCATCCTAATACCTGCGCTCCCCACCAAGTGCATCTTAAATTTGATTCATTTTTAAACTTTTTGGTTGAACTCTTAGGGTTATAGGTGAGATCGGGCCGCTAGGAGTGTCCAGGCTGTTTCCGACGTATTCTGGTACCAAATTTCTAAAGCCTAACAACCCTATACAGCGTAGTTCGTAACGAGAGGAATCCGTGCCATTGTTTTGTTCCACGTTCCTCATCGGAACATGCGCTGCGGCGCGGATACAAAAGATTGGAAAACAGCACTAGAAAGGTACTTTTAACGGAAATAGTAGTTGTTNTTCTCTTACTGTTTCTCTTTTCAAGTCCGAGTTGATTGATCGGTTCCGTTTGCCATTGAATGATGATTCAGACCAGATCGGCGCTTTTTCCTTATTCCTTCATTCATTGTTGACTTTATTCCCCACTGATGAGCTGGCATAATGAAGCTATTCGAAAAATTGGAGCAGCGAAATTTCCCCGCAAAATTTGCTTTTAAACTGAAATTAAAAATGAGTTGTATGTATTAGGTTGAGGCATTTGGTAGGAAAGACTAATTAGATTCAAAGTACTAAAGTTATGAAGAAATGGGTTGCAAGATTCATTACCTGATCCAACATTCATCATGATTCATCTCAGTAACGATTCAATGAAAATGATGATCCGCAGGCCATTCTAATAGCGAGTGCTCCCCACCTAGTGCATCTCAAATTTGACCTCATTTTCATTTTTTTATGGGTGAACTGTTAGGAATGTGAGATCGGCCGATTAAAAGTGTTCAGGCTGCTTCTGACGTATTCTAAGACCGAAATCTCTAAAGCTTGATCATCTAAAGATTCCTTACAGCGGGGTTCATAATGAGGGAACCGTGCCATCGCTCTGTTGCACGCTTCTCATTGAAACATGCGCTGCGGCGTGGATACAAAAGATCGGAAAACTCAGCACTAGAAAGATACTTTCAACGGAAGTGGTAGTTGTTCATAGAAAATCCTGTAGTCTTAGTTCTTAATTGTTCGAAAATCAGCATAATTTGGTATTCGCTCCTTACTTTTGAAAGGAAATAGGGCTTTTTCCTTATTTTTCTCGAAATTTCTCAATTGCTGGGTAGCGATTCTGCATATGACGAACTAAGTTTGCGGAGCAGTACAACGACAACTGACAAAGACTATATATACTACAAGTAATCCTCCAACTCCTGAGTCGCTAGAAGTAATGGTTGAGATCGGTAATGGTCCAGGAAGTGGGGGTAATTCTTTACTCTGCTAGGTCTTCCTATTCTTTTTTTTTTTGGAAACGAGCAAGCGAACGGTGAGAGGGTCATGTGAACATTCTGGAATGTCGTTATTTATGTGTCGGAGATGTGTTTGTTCTCTGAATGAAGGAATCGATAGTTTTTTGAATGAAGTTTACAATAGCTTGATCATGTGACGGGGAAACCTTTTTTGAATGAGAAATCCAATATCTTTTTTTTTTGAACGAAGTGTAACGTAGCATTTCAGAAGGGCGATGTATATACTTTGTTTCTTGAACTAAGCGTCCCATGGTGTTGCATGGGCAGCGATGTAGGAATTCTCGTTCAAGATAATGATTTATCAGCGATCAGCTATACTTGTATACCATGGGTCTGTAACTAATGAGGGATGGATAGCAATATCTTTAGGTTTCCAACTCTGTAGAAGGCGATAATGCCGAAACGTAAGTTGATAAGAACCTATTTAACATTTTGGTAACTGGTTTTATAAAAATTTAAAAATAATTCAAAGTCATGCCAAGATTCATTGAAAGTCGATCATGGATGCTTATGTATTTGAATAGTTTTTCGAAGTCTGCTGAAGTTTGCGCAACTCTTCACGCGATGGTAAACAAGCTGTGTCGGGCTAGGATTGCTTTAATAAAGATCAACCCGAGCTGATACTGACTCAACTCGGCTGTTTGGTGATCCTGAGGGTTCCAGGAAGCCGCAGGTCCGATAGCGGAAGTCCTGCCTAAACGCTAGAATAGTAAAGCATGTGTACTGACCTCGTGGAGAGTTCAAGCGGGCTTCATCACAAAATGAAAATAACACATAACATTAGTTTGTAGCTAACCACAAAAAATGTCAGTTTGGAAAAAAGTCCCTAGCGCCCATTTGGCTATTTTTATCGTATCATGTTCATTGTGTCAGTTCTTCTGTAAAAGATTAAAACAAACTCTTTTGAAGGGGCAGAGAAAGCGCTGAACAGAGCTGACACCCAGATTATAATGAATCTGTATTTTAATGTATTCAAGAATATTTTGTGGTAGAATCAGATAAGCTCGTCACGGAGGATTTCTTTTTCGCTGTAAACAGCATCTGGTTCGCTTTGTGGGTTGCTGCTTTTTTATCCGTTCGGTTTCTTGGCGAAGGTCATGATTTTCCGTTCAGCGGCCTCCTCGATGTGCAGCTGCCTTTCATAAAGCAAATACACCATAATGTTCTCATGGAGTTTTAGGGTAAAACCTCAGCTTGCTCGGAAATCAAACGTTTTCGTATGAGCTTTCTGTTTGTTCGCAGCATAATAGAACGGTGGAAGGGAAAGCAACATCCAAAGAATTGATGAGCATGGTGAATCGAAGTTCAGCAAGGGGTAAACAGTAAGAAACAGACGCGTAATGGGTTAGCTCGGCCTACCTAAACCAGTTGTCCATCTTCCGGCAGAGGTTGTCCTAGTCTGAACGGTGCCACAATGTGTTCAGCCGAGTGATTTTCATCTTCTAATCGTGATCCTGCGCAATATCAAACGACGGCTGGCGCCAGCATTGGCGTGGGCTCAAGACTCTGACGTCAGCGTCGACATTTGTACTATAAATTGAACCGATCTCGCTTCCTCCTTGGATTTGTTGAAGTCTCACGAAAAAAACATAGTTCTGATTGTCAGTTGTTTCGGTTAAAGCTAAGTAGCGCTTCTATTCGTGCACCGTTTCATGATGACCATGTCACATTTTGCCGATTTTTCCAGATTTACCAGTTTCTGAACAGCACGACGCCATGTTTCGAACGATTCAATCGATTGTTAATGCTCCTCAGAAGGTATCAGTCCTTATTAAAAAAGTTTTCTGTTTCTAATACTTCCAGTTTAAGATGATATATTTGTCTGCGCGCACGTTAATGCTACAAGAACATCATGGAATGGCAATTCTTCAGAAGGAAAACATTAATGTGAGTTTTTTATGTTCAACCTCCATTGCTACTCGCTAATGGTATTCATGTGGTTCGGAACTTCTTAAAGTTTCCATTCTGTTATAGAGGGAATACAACGATGTTTTGGTTGCATGAGTATACCTTTCATTTGGAGCTCAGTCTGCGGAATCGTTATGTATTAGCGTGCTTACTTGCTTAAGAGCTTCGCGGATGCTAGGATGAGATCATTTCAAGGGGAAGCCAAATATATCCCTGTCAAGGAACTTCAGACGTTATAGTAAACGCCTATAAACAAATGCTATACTTATATTTGTGTCGTGAAATCATCATACGATCTGATTCCTGTTAGTTTGAGCGAGAACCTTGGTAGCATTGTGTTGTTAATACCATACTGTATGCTTTTTCATTGTTTGTTAACCTTACCTTTTTGCCACAGTGCGCGACACAATAGCGAGCTGTGAGCAAAGCTTTTAGTTTCAGACGGAGCTTGAACCCTAGGAATGCTTTCTGGTCATCGTGCCGATTATCGCTTACATTATCGAGCCCCGCTTGCCCTCACATTATAAATGGCACTTCACCATAGCTTATCAGCATCAAAAAGTGGTGAATTGTCGGAAGGTTGGGAACGACACCCTGGAAAATAGGCACGGATGAATGTTCTGTCTGAGACTAAGCGTATTGCAAGTAGCTCGTCATGCTTGTGAGATGTATTGTTTTCGATTCTGATCGTTTATCTCTGGGCTGTGTTAAATCCGCCTACGCAAGGGGAATGTTTATATCACAAAAGTGAGAAGATGCGTTCGCAGCCTTTGAGGAGCAGTCGACAGTAGTTCGTCACCTCTCTTTACTGACACCTTGAGTTTTCCAAACCCACTGTTGTCTGTTCAAAGCGTATTTCGAAAGATGCTCGAACTCCTGAAATAACATTCACGCGTAACAAAAACGAGCGTAATAAGTCGACAATTATTCATTTTGAAGGTTCCTCCATTTGGCGTCGCAAAAACAGCGGAGGAAGCTAGAGCGCAAGCAGAACGAATAGGTACATTTGATGTTTGCCAACCGGTGACTTGTGTTTCAATTTTTCGTTATTCAGGTGGCAAAGACTATGTGATAAAAGCCCAAGTTTTGGCTGGTGGCCGAGGAAAAGGACGGTTCGATTCAGGTCTCCAAGGAGGAGTGCAAGTTGTTTTCACGTAAGAAACCGATAAAAATGAATACGTGAATCAGAGTGTGTACAATTTTCGAAACTTCAGACCAGATGAAGCAATGGAGAAGGCAAAGATGATGATTGGATCCAATCTAATCACGAAACAAACCGACCACCGTGGAAAGCTTTGCGAGGAGGTACGGAAGTGTAAGAGTTGTTGAGTAACCAACACATTCTGTAACATGCCATTGAGTGGTTTGATGAATTTTAGTCGAGCCACGTAGTCAAGTTCCGTATCGTCCTCCCACGCAGTTAGGTGCACAGTTAGATCAAAATCTGATTTGGGATGTGCGACATTAGGTTCAGTTGTAAGAAAGTTTCCATGTGGGATTTCACCTCGCCAGCAGTTTAATATGTGATTTAAATACCGGCGATGAAGAAATTACGTAAAAATAAAGCCAACAATAATGCGGAAGTCTTCCCAATTTGCTGAGACTGCTTGCCTTTGAGTAGTCAGCTCTCAAGCCAAATGCATAAGGTCGAGCCTTAAAATCGTTTCGAAGTTGCCAATAGCAAAACGCACGCAGTGTTCTTTCCTGTTCTTCAGCGGCTAGAAATCAGCAAGTTCAGTGAGTTTCATGAAGTCAATTTTGGCCCCAACTTTCTTGATTTGAGAGTACGGGAGGGGCAAGGTTCCACTTTTGTTGGCACGAGAAATCAGTTGTTTTGAGTGGTTAGGTCTATCTTGCATTTAGGTGACTTACGTCCAACCCAAGGAGAAAGCATATTCCAGGCAAGGCTTCTCTAACTAGTTTTATCAGTGGAATAATCATGGCCTAATCTGATGGGTAGTCAAGATGAAGGATTTCGGATAATGACAAAGCTGGATTTTCAGGTTATGGTCTGCAAGCGTCTTTTCACCCGCCGTGAATAC